AAAGTTGGTTTGCTGGTTAACCGATTTCATTCATACCGGTGGTTGCCTTTCAGTGTTCCCAAAGGCCATTGTCATTGGAACACTGTAAGGCATGTCGCCATTGCTGACAGTCATGAGTTTGACTGTCGTGTAAGCGGAATGAGTCAATTTTGGTCAGTTCATTCTGTGCATAGTTGATTAGCGCGATCACCGATAGGAATACTTATACATGCGACGTTAATGTGTATGAGAATGGTGCGAATGATCCACCAGGGTGTTTGGTTCCCGTGTGGTTGCGCCACAGGATTGAGTTATACTATTCAAATTGTAGCGTTAAGCCCTATATGGTGTCTGGTTCTCTTGTGGAGTGGGATTAAGCTGTACTGCTCTTGTTAAACCTGGGCAGTGTCTGGTTCTCCTATGAAACGGTATTGAGCTGTACTCTTTTGGTTGTCACGTGAAAGTCTGGATGGTGTCCGGTCCTCCTGAAAACCAATGCAAAATTACCCTGACCCACAAAAGTATATTATGTAACTTATGACTAAATGCCTATCCTGTGTTAAATTTCATTCTCGTAATTCATGTGCATTTCGTAATGCTAAATGTTTTGAATATGGCATGATAGGACACATTCAGTCAGCATGCAAAACAACTGTTCAATTTGCTACAAGTAATACTAGGCCTTGTAATTTAAATCCCAATAATCCGGCCGTTCCTAATGATCATTTATTTTTATTCACCGTTTCGAAAGGTAATGTTCACATTAAAAAGCGATTATATACATCCCTTGGTTCATTTCATGACTTTATTATAGACACAGGTAGTATAGGGTCCATTATTTTATTCAAGTACTTGAAATCTTTAGACCCTTATATTGTGGTGAGACCCACTGAAGTTTAAGTATTAGGGGTTACTGGACACAGACTGCCCATACGAGGACGCTGTGAATTGTTAATAAGAGATAATACATCTTCATACATGCCCTGTGAATTTTTACTTAGCGAAACAGGACTATCAATACTGGCTTTTAAAAATTTAAAAGTACTTAAAGTGGAATTATCTTTACAATTTTCTAAGGAAAATTCTGATGCTTTACCCAAAGTTTTGATAGCGTTTGTGATAATTGCAGTGATGGTATAAAAATCCATTCTATAAAACTTCAAATAAAGTGTGATCCAGTCTTTCTCAAGAGACGAATAATTCCTTATGGTCTTCAAGAAACAGTAAGTAAGATACTGAACGATTTGTGTGCGAAAGGTATAATTGAACCGACTCAGTCTTCAGCATGGGATACACCTATTGCTACGCCGTTCAAGTTGTATGGTAAGACCCCTATAGTGTAAAGTGACTATAGACTAGTACTGAATTCCCGTTTGTTGAGGCAAACGTGCACGACGATGGAGGCTGAAGATATTTTAAATCGACTTCATGGTTCTAAAGTGTTTTCGAAAGTTGACTTAAAAGATGCTTATCTTCAAATCCCTTTAGATAAATCTCCATCTATTTTGGCAACAATTAACACTGCTTTTGGTCTGTTCAAATAAAACTTCCTTCCATTTGGTCTAACCTGTTCTCCAGCCATATTTCGGGAAGTTATGAATAAGATATTCAGCGATATTGAAGGTGTTGTAGTTTATCAAGATGATCCCATCGTTCATGGTACTGATAAAGTAGTTCGTGACCAGAGACTTGTCGCTTTATTGAGTCGTTTAATTGAGAAGAATATTACAGTGAACCCAAATATGTGTTCATTCTGTGTATCTAGTTTCGTATGTCTTGGATACCTAGTTGATAGCAACGGTTTTAGACCAGATATGAAAAGACTAGCTCCACTAACAAATGCACCGTCTTCAAAAAATCTTACAGAACTACGTTCACTAGTGGGTGCTCTTCAATACTATTCTCCTTTTATTCCTAATTTTTCTTGTTGTGACAACTGTTTATTTAATATTTTGACATCCAATTCATTCCAACGGGGTGAGGAACAAGAGTCATGCTTACGAAGTCTACTAAAGTTTCCTCAAAAAGATGCCGTTCTTCGAACTTACTCACCCAGTGTACATTCTGTACTTATTACTGATGTCTCACCTGTGGGTATTGGTTCAGCTTTCGAACAAGAAGGCAGACCAGTTATCTGTGTTCCACGCAAACTTACTGTTACTGAACAAGGTTATTCACAAACCAAGCGAGAAGCATTAGCTGTGTTTTAGACTGTTAAAAAACTTCATAAATATTTATTTGGAAAGAAGTTTACCATTGTTACTGATCATGAGGCTTTGAAGTTAATTTATCATCCTGAAAAATTCTTAGCAACTTTCTCAGCCGCAATGGTCCAACGACGGAGTATTGCTTCCAGTGCCTATAACTATACGACTCGGCACAAGAGTGCCAAACAAATACAACACGCTGACTGCATTTCTCGGCAGTCATTACAAGATAGACCTGTTAATACTTCAGACTGTTTGTTAGTGCAATCTTTGCCGGTGAGACGTCCAGATCTCATTAAAGGAACTCGTAAATACTTTGGATGTATACTCAATGCCATACGGAAAGGTTGGAATGCTAATCGGAAACGTAGATTTCCTGTTTATTATTCGAAGCGGAATGAGTTTTCAACTACTCCTGATGGTATTTTGTATCTAGATGATCGTGTTGTTATTCCTCCTCCACAACGTAAATCTGTCCTTCAAGATCTTCATTGTGGACATCTAGGTGTTGCGAAAATGAAGTCCTCGGCAGAAATAATATGTTGGTAGCCAGAGATAAATGCAGATATATGTAGCACAGCAAACAATTGTGAAAAATGCCATAAGCTGAAAAGTCAGCCCTCGAAGTGGACTCCATGGCCAGCATCGTCTGGGGCCTGGGAGGGAATTCGTGCAGACTATTGTTGTCCATTTCTTGGCAAATACTATGCACTTGTAGTTATTGATTATTTTTCTAAGTAGTCTGAAGTTTTTTTCACAACTTCGCCAAATTATGACCTGACAATCCAAGCATTAAGGAAGATGTTTAGTCGAGAAGGGGTTCCCATGGTGTTAGTGGTTGATAATAGCTTTCATTTCACTGCGGATGTAGTCACTAATTGGTTGAATGGTATAGGGTGCAAACATCTGTTTACTGATCCTAAGAACCCCTGTTCCATTGGTAGGACATAAAATTTTGCCAGGACATTGAAAACCGCTATTGGTTCGATTGCTGCTTCAGCATTTATTGAATTGGAGAGGGGAGTAGATACATTTATACTTCAATATAGAAGTGTCAAACATACTGTGACGTAAGAGACTCTACCAAAGCTATTAAAAGGAAGAATTCTTCGTTGGAATATTAGGTATTTGGGTTTCCATAAGTTACATATTATCTCGGGAATGATCTTCGACCAGCCACGGGGATTGTGGTGATGAGTGTCGGGAAATATATGGTGCGAATTCTAGATATCAATGACTTGGGTATATGTGATCTACATGTTGATCAAATACAATTCCAGGACTCAGGTGAGTCTGTTCCGATTTCGGTTGGTAATTCTACTACTAGTGAGCACATTCTAGATTATACAGAGTCTTTATCCAATACACTGTCGGATATACATAGGATGAACCTAGGAAGACGTACAATCGATTACAGACACTCAGACTCAAATTTAAGCTGTGGCGGATGTAGTGTTCATATGAACCAATGATTCCTGTGTACTTGATGAGTACTTGATTTCGAATTCCAAATACAATACATTAGTTCGTGTTCATCTAGTACTTCTTGATCAAAAGGCGTTATTTCTGGGATTTCTAGTTTATACTACAATTCAATTACCCGTAATTAACACAGAACCCTAGTTAAATAGTAAAGGTTCTCTTCCTTTTTAAAGTAATACTCAACACTCTCCAACATAACAGTCGTCAACATTCACGAAAAAATTACAGGCGAATAACGAACGGAATTTCGAGGCGACAAAACAGAAATCAATCGCTAGTGCATTAGCTCCTGAGGTATTGTCTCTTAATTTACCTGGGCAGTTTTATTCAGTAACGTGACCTTTTCGTTAGGTGCATGCCAACTAGATAGTTTGAAGAAGGACGCCACACCTGGGCGTGTTTTCCGAACGAAAAAGAATACCAAGTCATATCAAACGATTTGTGTCTCAAAAATAGTCCGAAAGCGAATAATTCAAAATATTAGAGATAATTAGGGAATTCTCTTCATGACAGATTTTATTTAGGATTCAATCTTGATTCTGGGTGACGAAGTCACGTTTTCGCATAAATAAAATCAGAAAGAAATAGAAATGACACGGACATTGGGTGTTCGATAACGCCTTTGTCTGTGACACCTACAGATATGAAAGTATTCCCAATATAGATAACTATGGTCGTGTGCATCGCTCTTCACGAAAATAAAGCGGTTATTTCTTAAATCTGTCAACAAGCCAACTCAGAGTGTGCCCAACCACAGATATTTTATATGTAAACCTTGAATACAGGTGTAGTAAACCGTGATTGGTCTGAGTGAACTCGATGACAAATCATTCAGTGTGGACGTTTATATCTAATGAACATGTGACAGATCTCCGCTATTTTATCCATAGATATAAACCTAAGTGGAGACTTCATAAAAAATTATGTTCGTAAAACTCCTGATCATCTATTAAAATCTTGTCAAACTTACATCCTAATAATAATAACTAGACGACCGTAAACCAACAGCTAGAAATAGATTAGAGCTACATATATAAGTTATCACTTCTTGTAATAAGCCTACCATCACAGCATCATCAGCAGCTCTATCCTCCTCCTTTAAAAATCCATTTAGTGCTTTACTAGAGTCAATTAATAGTTACCTGTTAAATAGAACATTTTTATTTTATGTTTATCTTTCTACCTTCATATACTCAGTTATTTAACGGAATGTACTAGAAATGTTAGACTACAATAATGGAAAGCTTGTTCCGCGTAGGTTTTTATTCTGTTTCTAATTATCTGGAAGATCTTCAACTTCGCAAATTTGTTTATTCTCATGAATCAACTTACGTTCCACATTTTCGAAAATAGCGCTCCCGATGTCTGTATGGGATGGTATGTTGCTTATCCGGTCTAAGCATGCATTGAGACTGTTATGTCATTTTGTTGCAATTTCTGCCATTTGAATAAAGGTGTTTGGTGCTTAGCTGCCAGTTTCTTGTTGATAGTACTCTAGAACTGAAGGTAGTACTTGTCTTATTGTATTTAAGTCAAGTACCCATTGTTGGTGTATTGTTTCGCGTGTCTCAATTAAACTTTATTCGAATTTTCGTACTAAACCGTTCCAGGTGACCTAATTTTAATCGTAAGGATTGTTTTCAACTAAAAAAACATACAGTGCAAAATATACTGTGGATTGTTATGAAACCATCATTTAATATAACTAGACCGAAAAGTAATCCATCGTGCGTCTATTTTTCACTTAGACAGTCTAAAGTTAACGAATGAGTCCTTTTGCACAGTCCTATCTTCAGTGACTATAGTCCAGTCACAACTTCACTAGTCCCAGTGGAGTCAATAGTTCTTTGGACATTAGTGTATTCAAGTATATTTGCATTTGCCTCTACTTGTCAGTAGGCTGAACTTGGGGCCTTAGGAAACTTGTGACCGTGTCACGTGTGGAGTTTTGTGTTTATGTAATAGACACCCATACCACCTAGGAAATCGTGCAACCTACTCGACGCAACTATGGTGATAGAACCCTAAGCCTTTTTATTTGATGTCCTTGTTGATGACTTCGATTAGCATGCTTAAAGCATTATACCTACTGGATCACCGAGGTTAGATTTTATGGCATTAATAAAGAGCAACATGATCAAAGAAATGGAATAATTACTTTAAGAGTTAATCATATCTGTATATGGTTTATTTGTCGCTTATTTATGATAACTTCAGTATAACAAAGTACCAAAAATTCACTATGTTGAATGAAATGGTATTGCGAAGATTACAAGTTAACGACAAAATGGACGAGTAGTATTTTTTAATATAGTTTGATTTAAAACAGTGGGGAGAAACTTTTCTCACTCATGAAGATCCACCTCATCTTTGTGAAAAATATGGCAGCAGGCTATTGCACGACTGCCATTGACTCACTCATAAAAATCCAATATGTCTATCTTTCGTTCCACTACTCAATGTCAACCTAACCATGTCTACTTTCGACAAGTCAGATGTAGAAGCCTCTAAAAATTCGTCATCAATCCACTGCAATCTATTCCAAAATCACAGCACCGATTAGATCATCAATACTCACAAACACATTTCCTGACTTCGGCAATACGTGCCGTTCTGCAGTGAGTAAGCATCAAAACTCACTAAACATCGTTCTTTAAATTCTAGCTTCCATGAGCAATGAGCAGAACTCTTCATGGACACAATATTTACGACTAAAATAACGCCGCAACCGCTCTAAAGATGACAATGTCTAAACATTTGACAAGGAAGTGTATATAATTAATGCACCCACAATCTGAACCAAATCACCCTGTTCGCAAGGCAGCCTTTCTTATGTTCTGCACAAACTACATGGCATGAAGGGAACCAATAATTCATATGTAGTTGAAGGAAAACTTTTATCTCGATAATTGTGACATGTTTTGCCCCCTTTAAATATATAGACGACAGTTGCTTCATTCGGGTATAATAAAACAACCTGTGTTTGCCAAATTTCAAATAGTCCTATCATTTATGTGTCCGAAAGTTCATCTTCATGACGATTTATGAGTAAGTCGCCTAAGCGTCGTGATAATCGAGTGTCCACTCTTGCCATTCTTGTTTAACTTTGTCGTTGACATGCTTTTAGAGATTACACTTTCATCATCTAAATCTCCAGGAGTTTAGCCTTTACCGGGAGGCTCACTTGTTGACCTAGAATACGCCGACGACATAGTTTTATTTGGTGAAGACGCTGACAAATTGCAGTCTTCTGACCACTATAAGCAACTATGCAGTCATGTTCGGGATGCGAATCTTTCCTTCGAAGTGCAAAATGTTACTTCAGGATTGGGTTGCATCGGCACCTGAACTAATGATGGGGAGTAAAGTAGTTGAACGTGTTGACCACTTCACTTATCTTGGAAGTCTCATCGGCCCTTGTGGTCTGGTGTGTGACGAAATCTCAGCACGGATATAGAAGGCTCGACTAGCTTTCGCCAACTTGCGTCATTTATGGCGTAGGCGAGATATCCGTCTAGCAACCAAGGAACGGGTTTACTGTGCAACAGTTCGTTCCATCCTACTTTATGGCAGTGAAACATGGCCGATAAGAGTAGAGGATATTCGTAGGCTACTAGTACTCGATCATAGGTGTCTTCGAAGCATTGCTCGTATATCCTGGGACCACTGGGTAAGTAATGCAGTTGTTAGGAAACGGGTACTAGGTAAGGATGGCAAATCGATTGATAAAGTAGTCAGTCAGTTACAACATAGAACTTCGTACGTACGTACATCAGTTCGAGTTGCCATATATGATAAAGTAGTGAAACTTCATCAGTTGAGATGGATGGGACACATGTTACGTATGCCCAACCACTGACTGCCCCGATGTGCAATGTTTTATGGTGTAGGAATAGGTTGAAAGAAAGCTAGGGGCGGCCAGACCAAACGTGGCACAAATCCATGAAGTCACTGACAATTGTACTGAGCCATGCTGTTAGGTGTAGGGTACCTGGTTGGGATTCGCGAGATGATAGCAATCGATGGTTAGAGACCTTGAATGACATGGCTCAAAATCGTTTGCAATGGCGAAGGTGCATCCACTCTTTATGTTCTGTCAAATCCTAATCTGAATTCTTTACGTCTCTATCTTTTTTCTCTTTTCAAATTTATTTCATTGGATTATACTCCTTCAATAACATCTTCAAACCCTAATCTTTCACATAATGCTTGTACTCTTACTACTTCTACCACTATCGGATTTGAATCAACAACTGCATCTCTGTGCTAATGTGGTATGGCAACACGAACTGATGTTTTTTTTTTAAAAAACTGATGTACGTACGTACGAAGTTCTACATTCTGACTGACTGACTGACTAATAGGTTTCGATGCCAAGTTCAACCAATTTCCCCACAATCGTCTTTTCAGACAAGGCCATCGTTCTTCAAGACTTAAGACGAGCTTTGTACCCGCTAAAAAATAAAGCTAAAGCTTTTGAAGTATCGACATTTGTGTTTATTCACTCTATCGAAGTCTAAGTGGGACGTAAGATACTTATATCCAGGTCTTTGTTGCACTAATTAGTGACTGAAATGTGTTGCATTTACCAGAATACCACATCATAGCGCTCAATAAAATAGGGCTTCACAAAAGGGTCAATGTAACTTGCTGATTGGTTTTAAAAGTATGCAAACGTTAATTTGCGTTAGCTCACTCATTAGGTCCTTGAGTATGAGCCTCACCGTGAGGGCTAATACTACCAATTCGCCATGGTCAATGTAGGTGGGGCGAAACCCGAACCCAAAAGTATGTGTTTTTGTGACTAGAATTTCAGATGTTGGAAATTATGGGCTGAAGACTGTGGGCTATGTAAGTGGAATCATAGTAATACAAATGTATCGGTCTTTCTCCACATATTTTACATAAGGCTTGTCCACATAGATGTCTTCTATCCCTCCATACTTTTCCTATTCGTTCCACTTTGTTTCTTCCGTAACACTTTGTCTACTGTCACTAAGTGTGTTTGAACGGACACAGTATTCTGCAACTTCCTGGTTCTGTTTCTGTTGTTAACCTTAACAGCCTTTGCATAGAAATCCAATAAAAACTGGAATGTCTTTCCAACTTATTTTCCCATTTATCGTACTTTTAACAGATCACATTCATGCGACTAAAAAGTTCAAACACAGTGAATCCAATGAGGAATCAAATGGAAATCATGACAAGCGCAAACAAGTTGACGCACATGTTCAAGCTTTCCTCAAGGCTGTGCTTGACCATGCCCATGGTGGTACTGTCCGGCAGACAAACAATCCAAACAAAAAAGATAAATCTGTGATAAAAAAGGATGCTTTCACTCAGACAGACGAACAGAATGACTTTGACTTTGAATCGTGTTCGTACTATCCAGATCAGTCAGTTTCTGAATATATGGGTTGCAACAAAAATGAACAAAGTAGTCGAGTTCCTAATCGAGAAATGTACAGCGAGGAAGCGTTAAATTTACTTTCCCAACAGAGTTTTTATTCTGAAGAAGCACAAAACGATCTCTCTTTGAATGACAACTCCATCCACTGCTATTCCACTCAAGGTGAAACTGGTCTCTTAAGTCATGGTGTTAGTAACAAGGGTACCCGCATTTCTTCCAATAAGATCAAGAGGGCAATAGACGAATGGGTTAAAAAATATGAAGACTGGTTTTTTCAAAACTTTGGAATGGATGTACGAACGGCGTCCCATTCAATTGAATCAAAACCTGAAACCGAACTCAAACAAAGTTCAGAAGCAATTATTGGTGCTCAAACACTGTTCAACACCAATTCATCCGATTCTCAAATGCTAAATCCTTGCGTTGTATCACACGCGCCTGTTAGTTATTTCATCCCAGAGGGTTCGTTGTGCACAATCGATGGTAGATTTTCACCATACTACTCCCTCGTCCCTTCATTTTACCTTTCCCCAACTCTAAGCAACGCTCCCCTTGGTTTACACTCTAATGTGACAGCTTTCAACTTCGGTGTTGGTGTATCGCTGTATCCAAATCACACATTTATCCCTACCACCATTAATACAACCATGTCTAATGCAGTCGTTTCATACTCATCGAATTTCGCCAACCAGCTAGGTGCTTCTACAGTGTCATTTCCACCAAACGTAACCAGCACTACTACAACGTGCAATACAACGAGCTTTCACGTAGGTACATCCTTTCCTATACCTCCGACTATTCAACAAAATCATTGCATCACTTCCTTCGCAGATCTACCCAGTGAGTTACAAACATCTGCAATGCTTGCCACTTTAGCCCTCCCAGTTGCTGACAGTCAACATAGTTTAGGTCAGTGGGGACCACATTTAAAATATGGTACTTATGGTCGGCTCCCATCTCCCCTGGACCTACAAGCTTTCGATTCCCAAAGGAAGTTATCTGAGTTCGGACAAAATAAAGCGAATCAATTATCTTATTCATCGCCTGATATGTCAAACATATCTCCTACTCCTAATAAATCAGTGAAAATGCCTCCTCCACCTCCCACCTTCATTCTTTTAAGAAGACAAGCCATGGTCTGTGCACTCCAGGTAAGTAAGTGTAAGCCGTACATTTTCCTTAACTCACCAGTAACCATCGTCCTAGTCCCACTTTACTGCCATACATTAAAATAATGTATGGTGGCATCAATGTTAGTAGCCCAAATGTAATGTATTTACTACCTCGTAGTTAATAAATTCCATCATTTATTTCTTCGTTCTGTAGTTTGATGAATTGAGTTAACGCACATTTTTACCACACTACATATTAATTATGTCAAACTTTTGTAAATAATTGTAAAGACATTAAGTAATGGTCTGCTTAATTCTCATTTTTTATCATCGTAAGATAGACTCGTCAAAAGGTTTTAGTAACAAAATTTAAATGTTAATACAATTTATTTCATGATAACGTTAGGTTTGCCAATTATTTTCAGAGTATTTTTCAGTCACCTAGGTATCTTCATATTATCAGATTTTCTTGTCAGATACTAGGTTTTAGCTAGTAGCTTGACAAATAAAAATACATCTTACAGTATGAGTTAGTTCTTATTGTTGTATGCAGTTCATATGTTATTTATTTAAAAAGATAAAAATTAGTACAGAGGCACCAAATATATATGCGTCACACAAATGACTCGACTTGTGAAAGTTGGGATACTTCCTGGGTGCCCAGACCGAAGCAAATGATTTTCTTAAGGGGCCACACCCTGAGTCTTTGACCTAAAGGTCTAATCCACAAGGCAGTGGCGCAACGTTAGTAGATGCAGTTCCATGGTAGCCGGTGATCAACAATAGGTTCATGCGCCATTCGTTTCCTTGGAATCCTGGAGCCCATGTTCACCATTGGTTTGGAATCAGGATTTTCAAACTCCCCTATGTCGGTCCTCTATATTCACCAACCTGGTTAAAGCACCGGACATTCGCTCCTCGTCCTCCCAATTTCGTAAACAAGGCTGTGAGTAGGACTTCCTTGGTAGTAGCTGTATACGCGTGGCCGTGTGAGATCATTTAGAGATGGAAGGCTGACTTTTCCTACCCTCGGCCAAACCAGAACATTTGGGGGTAGTTCATATGTTAATCATATCTACCCACACTGAATTACCACATAACTCAGTCAAGCCTTCTGGACTTTTCAAGTACATTTCAGATCCAATAGTTTAAACCTAAGCTAAACCACAGAATCTCTATTCCATTTAATAGGGCATAAGCACATGGCTAACATCTCTAATCTGTACACAATGAATACACTTTTCAGTCTAATGTACATTGTTGTTATCGTTCATTCTCCTAATACAAATTTGTGTGATACTAACTGGCTATCCAAAATGAAGTGAACGAAGGAGGGTCAAATTTGTAGTTTGACAGTTAGTAGCCAAGTTATTTAATCATCACTAATAGTCTTTTATAAATCTGCAAGTAGTTATTAGATTGTTTAGTTTATTCAGTTCAATTTACTTGAAAAATTATTATCGTCTTGACCAGAAAAAATCTTTTCAACATTATAAGCTTAAAGAATTATAAAAGGCCAATAGAACTATCTTAAACTTACACTACACATTAAAGTTCTCAGGTTCAATATTTAGTTGAATCACGTATACATTCCACAACTGATGTTCATTATTGAAAAATGCTGAAAACACAATACAACTAAACTGGGATGACTATCTTGGGTAGTCAAGTATTAATTAAATGTAGTAAATTAAATATCCCTCATAAGAACATTAAGTTTTAATGAAAAGTGATTATCTGTAAAGAACTGATGTATTGCCAATGTTAAGCGTTTTCAAAATATATAGAAACTTCTTGGTTCATTTTTTGTAGAACTATCATCAATGTGGTTCTGATAAGATCTTCATTACATATTTTTATGAAATTTAAGTGAATTTAAGTTCATTTCACTGTTACCATATTTTAAAGTATCCATTATGTAGTGCGATGCTAGGCTTTAAACTATCAAACTACGCTCATTCGTGAGCTAAATTTTATTTGTTGGTAAATTTACTTATCATAATTATTCTATATCGTGAGAAATGTTGGTAACGTTACATTTTACTCACTTTCTTCGTTTAACGACAAACTTAATGTCTATCAATTCATCCATCTCACTATCTGTCTTTAATTCGAAGCTATGTTGTCGGGAGCGTGGAAGCGAACTATTTCTTCGTGAAAAAGAAAGTTGTAGTGGCTTATTCATTGACTTTGTGAAGGAACTAGCCCAAGTAGTTGAATCCAGTATTGGCCTTCAACCCACATATGTTTTTACGAAAATCACAGATCTTCCCCAGAGGGAACGTTCTTTTTTTCTGACTCCTGAAGTTCAAAAATATCCTCAAAATCACCTATCCCCTGTAAGTGTTTTTTTCGTAACTTTATTTATTTATTTAAACACATAAATGTTGGTACAAAGAGACACCAGATACATATGCTCCACAAATCTCATTTGATTTGTATGAGGGCTGTAGTACTGCCCGGGTGCCCAAACCGAAGCAGATAGTTTTCTTAAGGGGCCACACCCCAAGCCTTTGATCTAAAGATCTGATCCACAAGGCAGTGGAGCATCGTGAGGGGATGCAGTCCCATGGTAACCGGAGACCAACGGTTGATTCATACGCAATTTGTTCCTTCAGGATACTGGAGCCCATGTGCACCATTGGTTTGGAATCAGGGTTTTCCAACTCCCCTAGGTGGGCTTTCCGTGTCCACCAACCCGGTTAAAGCGCCGGACATTCGCTTTTCATCCTCTCAATTTCGTTAACACACCCTCTTCGAGAAGGAAGTGGGTAGAAACTCCACGGCAGTGGTTGTATACGCATGGCCATGTGAGAGCATTTCGAGAGGGAAGGCGGACTTTCCAGACTCCCGGCCGTATTAGGGCATCTCAGTTTGCGTAAAACCGTTAACTAGACTAGATATTATGTTCCTCGATAATTATTAGTGAGATACATCGACGATATTTTAGAGAGCAGGGGGATTACTCAGGATTGTAAATATTTTTCTGCTAATTGTTAAGTGAGATTCTGTGTTCATGGCCTTCTGCAGATATCCAGATACGCTGTCTAGTGAAGAGCTACTAAGTACTATGTTAATTCGTGTTTTGTAGTTGATAATGCTCAGTCAAGACTAAGTGAAAACAATAATTTGATCATCACCTGTGGTCATTTCTTGCAAACAGACGTTACTTGTTTGTGTCATTTGTTTTTCTGTTAATATCTTGAGTACTGCTGGACGTGTGAGGGTGGCTATCACTTCTTTTCCCATACCGTGAAGGAATACTTGAGATGTCTGAAAAGTAAACTGGGTTAGAGAGTGATCTTGAAGACCTTGAAGCGTGATCTCACGGCCTAAGGAATAATTACTTGAAGTCGGTCACAGCCTTTTTGTGAGTGGTTTTGTGTGTTAGTTTAGTATTTTTAAGCCCTTACAATCCGACGTTACTTGTTCGTTTTAATTTTTTATCTATATAGATTTCAAATACTGAAAAAGCGTTTGATATCAAACAATTAATTGCTTGTGATCTTTTGATTGGAGATGTGCTAATTGCAGAATCACTTTCAGCGTCTAAATCCCTTGCACAAATCTGCACTGCACGACAGGTATGACAATTTAATTACCTTATATCTTATATATACCTTTCAAAATTCACATTAATTTGAAGATAGTTCTAATCATTAACTGACATCAGTTGGCGAACTATAACAAACGCTGGATAGCTATCTCTTTTTAGTTCGTATATCTCTGAGAGACTCCATTTAAAAATAAACAATATCACAGTGCTCTCCAAAACTCCTAGGTGTACCTGAAAATAAATTGTTGCTGTCAACCTTGAGCTATTTTTTGTATGACGGCTGGTAATACAACTTGTTTGTTGAACACAAAATTGATGGAGTGGAATTTGGTCTCGCTACTCAGTAATGGAAATTTACGTGCTGTTATATCCGCTTAGCTATTAGATCATAACTTTCCAGTGGTTGTCCTACTATCATTGGTTTATTAAGAAGAGAAGTCTTCACATCCATTTGACTGAATAGATACATTCGCTGTCTGGAAAATCCAGTCATGCTACTGTAATTTTTATCGGGCTTTTTCCTGAATAGTGATAATTGGAAGTGTCGATTTAGCTAGAGTGAATTGTTTGCATTATTAAAAAAACAAAGTACTAGAGAACATGAAAATCATCTCCCAATACAACTTAAATATCTCTTTATTCTAATTAGTTCTAATTTGTTTGTTTAAAGGTTTTAATATAACCACTCTCCCTCTCTCCGGTATTCTAGGCCTTTCAGATTTTATCTCGTCCTTGTTTCCTCGTCGGATCTGTACGCCAATGGGAGGAGGTTGAATACTTGGTTTTATGTTTAAGTCCGAAAGCCGAAATAGTTCCTAAACTGTCTCCATTTCTCAAGGACCCTTTTGAATCCAACTTCGAAAAGGATAGTGAATTTGAAGGTGATGAGAGCATCATCACAGTTTTCACCCCTAAACCATTTGATGATATGTGGATTTACCTAGCACGACTTCCAAAAGAAAATTTATATGATCAGGTACTAAATTCTTATTGTTTATTACTAACGGCATTGAGAATATTTAACTGGATTAGAAGTAAATAAGTGATGTCAATGATTATATCCATCTAAACTCTTTATACGTGCTTCCTGTATTACAGACGTTTTGTACGACTCAATATAACTACCAGAAACTTCATGAAAACAATCGCATATCTTGGTCTGATCATCTTTAACCTTTTAACAGCTTTTATAGTACCCAGCATGATGCTGCTACATGAGAAGAGGAGGCTGAATCTGTGCAATACCTGTTCTATTCATATCTATAGATAGAGGTTCAATACTCTATAATCCTATTTATCACATTCATCCAGTACTTTGTTGACTTGCTGATTCAACCATGCCTAAACACTACTTTACAGGCACTCATGATTGATTATCTTCAAACTACCCATGTTCATGATGTAATATGTAGTGGACTTACAAAATATACACTCTGACAGGTAGATGAATGTTATCCGTGTACAGCATTTGTTGACAAATTTCAAATGTGGTTTCTGTACCCTTTGAGACGTCAGGTAACGATCCACCAATGTCGATAATGTTCCTGAAATAAATGGATTATCAAGTACACCCAGCAACCTTGTTCCCTATTCCAAGTTACGGATGAACACAGATCACTCTCGAAACAAAGTTTGTACTATCTTTAGGAAACCACACCTCTCTGTATCGTGACTGAACGGGACTACGTAATTTACACATCGATTTAATGAAAGTATCTTCTGTCACGAGAACAAATCATACAAGTGTAACTTATTTAAATTTTTAGCAACTAGATCCATGATAAAATCAGTAAAAGTTGATGAAATGAACTTTTCCAACATAGTTGCTTTCACTGATAACACTGCTTAGATATTATGATTTTTTTAAATTAATTCATCAGGACTTGTTTCTCAATATCACTTAAAATTAGTTCAAGTCTTCAATGACTCGCTAAAAAGTAAATTGTCCAGTTCAAACCTAAACATTATTGCTCAGGCATTTCAATTTTCTTAGATCCTTACTATAATCAGAACACATTAAAATAATTCTTACAACACCATGACTTCTCACTCAATCATATCGTTAGCATTTTTATCCTTGAGTTGTTCTCTCGGTGTGTTTAAAATTGACATTTTTAAAAATTGAACAGTTGCCATACTACACTGAATCAACTACGTGTATTGTTATCTTCTTGAGTTCTTACGCTGCCATCCAGTCAGAAATCCCTTTCAACGATACCTAGCTATTTTAGTCGATTGTAAAATAAGTTAACAACAATCGTTAAAAAAACAGACAGAATACTTATCCAACATAGACACTGGGACTTATCAGTTCTTCAAACTGTATTCGGTCGAAAAAATCCCTCAATCTGGTGTAGTATATCTAGCTAAACACTCAATTTTTTATCATTCTTATGAATAATCAAATCTTTCTATGTTTATCAAATTTGATAAAATTGAAATCCCTATCTGTGTCAATAATCCTCGTTTATCAAAATGTGTCACCTAACCACCAATCGGTCTATGTTCATATTTTTTGTTATAGTTTGCCAAATATTCTGATATAAAAATCTTTACATTTATCACTACGATGTTTTAGCACCCTCATCCATATCCGTAATTTACCGTTGATTTTTGTAAAGGTCCATCTAGAGAGAATTTTGGCCCAGTCTGCTGAATTCAGTCAAATGCTCATCAGCTTTGAATTTGAAGTGCAAACAACCACTGGTCAAATTATTTGTAATACATTAATTGATAATCAACGTTGTCTAAGCGTTGAAAGTCCAGATCTTCATGGTGCTCAACAATCGGCAATGAGTAGTTTGCTGAATAAATTATGTGCTACTCAACCTGTGGTTGGTTTAGTATTCTCACGGGAAGGTAAAGTTGTCATAGGCCAGTCACCAGCTGTATTTTTTCTCTTAATTGACTGTATTTTTTGTAATTGTACCTTTAATACATTACCAATTGTACTGTTTTATAAATATACGAATATATTTCTTCAGTATAAAACTGTGCCTTGTTTCAATGAGTATTCTTTTTTGATCATTTCTTTCTCTTTGTATATATGTATGATTCAAGTGCGTTGTTTACTAATCTTTCTGTTTGATTTGTTCTTATTTGTCCTCATATATATATATATATATATATATATATATATATATATATATATATCCTGAATCGACGATAATAATATTATCGACTCATCTGGAAATAATGCTGAAGGAGCGATCTGCAGTTCAGTTTTATAAATGAACAAACTTCGGTCTTATTTCGCTGCTATGAGACAAAATTACTGACATTATTTCTCACCCTTCCGTTATTGTAATGTGGTTTAATGTGTCACATAAAGAAGGAATTTAATTATTGACTGGAATAATTATTTTTTTTAGAATTAGGTAGACCTTACTAATGAGTCCCACTTTAAAAATCGGTTTTCCCCATACTTGCGATACTTTGTAAGACTGCATTTCGTAACTTACAAGCCTTAGGTTTATATAGTAAGCCTGACCCTAGATATTCGTTTAGCAAACGATCCCATCATTATGATTTTTATTCAAAGTTGAATGTGTATTTACCGTTTGCTAAATATCTGCTTATTCTCGTGACAAGAGTATTTTTTAAAGCAATCTTCATCTAGATTTTTTTCAAAAATTGCTTACATAGTTGGATATTGGCTTTTTCGACAGTTTAAAAGTACTCTGGTTGCATCAGTATACTAATGTCAGGCTATGCCATGAGGAATTTATATTAATTATCTGCGTTTCTCAATCAGACAAATATGGTTCCTGTTTAGTTTACCACACTATTCACAAGTCTTGATTATTCTATAGTCTCGTCTATTGCAGTAATTGTAAATAATTAAGTCCATTACCATATATTTCAACAAACTATTGGTAATTAGGTCTAGCTCGTAGTACACTTTTAAATAATAAATTCTTTCTCAAATTTCTTTATTTGTTAACGACGTGTATTCAAATTTCTTGGAAAGTCTCGTAATAGGATAATGTGACTATCTAGTGCTTCCGGGTTTTAAGTGGTTATCTTACTTGGATTGGTTTGTGATTTGAATCAAACCCAACAATCTCCACAACCCCATACTGACAAAGATCATTACAATTTTCCCAGACAAAGATCTCAAAATCTAAAACCTGTGTATTAGGGTTCTTTTCAACCTGCATATTTATTATCTGATCCAGGTTGATGGTTTCAGTAGAGGTAACTTCAAACAGCTTAGTCAACTGTTCCTCGAATTAATCTAATCATGAACCTGCTATCTTTATCAGCTAAGGTGGATGGGACATGTGTTACCTACGCCCAACCACCTATCTTGACAGGCCATGTTGTTTTGCGTAGGAGCAGGTTAGAGAAAAGCTAATAGTTGTCAAACGAAGACCTGGGACCAGCCCATGAGGAAATTGTTTGTAAGTTTTAGCCTTGTAAGTAAGTGCAGGCTACCTGGTTGGGATCCACGTGATTATCGTCACCAATGACTAGCAATTTTGAATAGCATGGATCGAGGTCGTTTGCATTAAGCCAGGTGTATTCACACTTTATCTTCCCTTAGATCCCAAGTTTCTAAATTGCTAATAAATATCTTTACGAATTTATATTTTTTTTCAAACTGTATCTTCGATGCTTAATCTTTCCTATTAGCACTAATAATGTTACTACCTCTGCTACTCTACGGTTTGCTCTAGCAAATCCATCTCGTTTTACCGGTGGAGCATCTCAAATTAAACCAATGCACACACTTACCGGATTATACGGCGCATTTGACTGACAGCGAGTTATGTCAAGAATAATCGCTGTCCCCATTCCCACTTTTACATAGATTTCAGCCTTATAGTTTTCAAGGACTGATTTTCAACATGTATAATAATATAAAAGAAGAGTTCTGTATTACTACTGTATTTCTCATCAAAGCAGTCGCATTTATCGTCTACCAAGAAAATCTCAGGTAGTTGTAGAGAGGTTATTCAGTATTACCTACTACCTATCACTCATAATACAGACAGTGTACTCACATGCTTATCACATGACAATTATATGGCAAAACATTGCCCTTCTGTCTACAATATACCTGATAAGTTAGCTATAGCTTTCACCAAAAAGGCAAATCACTGGATAAATGCAAACAAACCATTCAAAAGGCTTTGGTTAATCACTTCAAGAATGAAATTAATCCTAATTAGTGGAAGTTTGTGGCTTATTGTAAAAAATTAGGTCTCCATCCTTCTAAAAACTCCATCAACATCAGTTGAAAGATGCTGTTCACTTTGGTGTTTATGTATAATCGTTTAGTGATATTACTCTTTTTTTCATACCTAAGACTATAAATTGCAGAAACATCAAATAAAAGTACCCCTTCTTATCCTCATATCACACACATTTAATAACCTCCGTATCTCTTTCGCGTCCGATAAATTAGTCTGCTACATGCTTATCAACCGAAACGTAGTCTGTTTTATTAGTTTGTAGTTTCCATGTCATTGGCTTATATATATAACTACTTATTTGATTGGGCCTCAGTAATGACAAACTGTGTTTCATTGGTGAGCTTATTTAACATATCAATTATAAAAGCCATTTGCTGATGGAACTACAAATTCATTTATATTATTGAATTTTCTAATAGGTATTTTATAAAAGTGGAGACAAGTGCTCGCATTTTATTGGCATTCATTGTTTTTGTTCTCATACAACACTATATATATAATCAGATAATTATGTGCACTAAGTCTGTACATAATGTTTGATGTTCTCAATTTGAGGATTTTTTATAGTGTTAAAACTGTTTTTATTTTGTGTTGTTTATCTTGCTCATACTTTGATGTTTATAAACCATATTGACTTCCATGCATTGTGAATTATTATTGCAGAAGAATTCGAAGATGACACTACTTCGTCTCTTTGGGGAATTCCTGAACACGTCATGGTTGAAAATCTCATGTGGGGTAAAGAAGAACTGGATTCACCAATACATTTTGAACAACTAGAAGCACACTGTGAAATTCCAACTCTATCTCCAACACATCTTAATTGTGATGGTACGTGATTTACTCATAAATTCCTGAACGAATCATCCCTATAAAAATTAAGACTCCCTAATCTATTCACGATTTGAAATATCCGCTTACAACTTTATGGAATATATTATTTCCAATATCGGTAATTGAATTGAAATAGGACGTTCTGATCATTACTAGTTAATTATTGAATCTTAAAACCCTAGTACCTTTCACCTTCATTTCTATTTATTTACTGTTGATCCTTTCGCTTTGGCGTTCAAAGTCTTTATTTAACGTTGACTTATGACTATTTTACAATTCGTGAATCCATTCTGCGAATTACGGTTACCATGGTCTGTGACCTCGCCCAATACTAATAACCAGGACACTTCACATTAATTAAAAAAATGTTGATTGCTTAGCGTACAATTTTTGTTTGTTTTCTGGCTGTTTACTGACTATCATTATTCTGAACTATAAAATGACACAGTTCTTGATTTTTGAATAAATAGCCTTTTGTATATTTTATTTTTCTTTAGGCGCAGATACTAATAACAATTATGATGGAATAAATTGTACTAATCGATTTTCGTCGCCTATCATAATAGAAAACTATCTTCAAGCGTATGCTGCTTCAGCTTTAGTCTCACCGATTTGTATATTTCCTACTGTCGTTCCCAACAATCTCTGGCCAGTCGTACAACAACATGCTAGGCGTTGGGGTTTGTTAAGTCGTGTGGAAGTTAAACGTAATCCGGATCCTTCCAGTTGTGTTATCGTTTGTAAACGAGTCCCACTCTCTCGATTAAAAAGATCACTATATGATCAACAACAATATGGTTGCTTTCATCTAATTGATAAAGGCAATCTTACAACTGAGGCTTTAAAGCGTTTATATCAAGCTGATCCACTTTGTTTTAGTGAAGATGGTTCAACAACATCAAACGATAACGTTCAATCATCTGACCATATGACTAATTCCAACTTATTATCTTCCTCACCACCAACGTATTTTAGAACATCAGACGAGTACAATGATGAACCAGTTACTCGTTATGCTCGTGAATTCCTTTCTACATATAAAACACGCATCAAAAAAGAATCTAATGAAGATAATTGTAATCTAATCAATGATGATTGTGTACTTGTAACAGCAGAACTTAATCAACCATCAAATGCTATCGAAATATTAGATGATCTTCCTAAAACACTTATACCGGGTATAGATTTTTAGTACTTGTCAAATTAAACAAAAAAACTAGATCTTTCATCAGTTTTAGATATTTTTGACACCCGGTACAATTTCTTAAACTATTTTTTTCTGACTATTTCAATACTAACAAATTGAAGAGCATTTTAAAAAAAAATAGTTTTGCATTTATTCCATTATACTTTAGTTCTCCCAGTGTTCATTCGTATCATCATCATCTTCATCATCACAATTATTGTTTTGTACAAATGATTTGTTTGTTTTTTTCCCCGGCAATTGTGGATCATCTATCAAATCATGATAATAATTTTTCTTGATACATTGTTCTTTTTCTTGTTATTTTCTTTTTACATTTGTTTTTTTTATGTGCGAGTTGTTTCGCTGCTTTCCCTCACATTACAGGAATGATTCATACGGTAAACATGTTTATCGGAATTGTCATGGCTAATATTTCTAAAAGTAGTTTTTGTATGATAAGATGCCAAATGACTAAGAATTCTGTTTGTTTTATTTGTGCTATTTATTTTACTGGAAATCCATGGTTTTGTGTGATTCTGACTATGCTTTACATTCAACTATCCAACGTAAATTGGATGATATTGAATATCGGCTCATATTATTATTGTTATGGGTCCAGTTTTCTTGTCACCACAAGTACACTTGTCTAAGATGCTTATATATGATAGTTTGTATTGACACAGGTTACCGATAATCAAGATAAGGGTACGATTTAACAGCATATTAAATAATATAACTAAGATCACGTGTTAATGAGTTTAACCAAATAAATTAGATCACCGTATTCACGATCTAAATTCACTTGACTCAACACGCTACTACAGATATTCTATATGTATTCTAGGGTAGAAATTTACAATATTTTGAAAGTCGACCATAGTAGTTCAGTTTTTTTCGTGTTTTCATTCGATGGGGCAATCGTTTGACTGGTTACCGTAACTTTTCTCACCATAACATCTAATAATGATCATTTAAGTGTAGACGAAGATATTTCCCAGATATTCTATGTATACTTCCAAAATAATCTATCAGTATTTTTCTCTTCCAAACAAAATATTAATATTAACGTCTAATAGCATCTCTTATACCGAGTGAAATCAACTGTGTCAAATATTTTATTGATATCATTCGAATGATCTGTGTCGGCAATACCTTAAAATAAGTAGATTGTGAATATGATATAGAAATGATACTCAATAGTAAGTGAAAAGTTATTATCTAAATCTCACTACTGTAGAATCTCACATTAATTGTTAAGCAAGTCAACTGAATTCTCAGCTTTGGTGTTTGTAATAGATGTATGAGATGAAATGACTAGGATCATAAAAATAACATTGTCACCAAATTCGAAAAATCACAGTATTTGTTGAAAGTAGGAGATATCTACATTTTTGGTTAGTCACAAGCAAATGAATAGGGTTAATTGAACAAATTTCAAACCCTTAGAAGCTTGATCCTCGCCTTATTGATGAGCGTGTTTTTTTTTCAGTCAAGTCCTTATTAGTGCGGACCAGTTTACGGACATCAAACAATTCACTGTTCTGTGTGTAAACAGGGACAAATTCGAATGGTGTGAAAAATCGATGAGGACAATTATGACTTGTTCCTAATTCACATCTCGTATATAAAATGGATGCAAAATTAAAGGAGTTTGATTAAAAATATGATTATTCTAGTTCACACGTATGATGTTTCCCAAAAATATCACGGAATCGAGTTTCATGTTGGAAACTCGTCTAATCTAGGGAAAAGTATTTTCAACTAATTATTCAGCCAAGTTTTCCATTTGAAGTTGAGAGTGTAGACTTTAGTACTGCCACGTAATGACTCGATGGTTTTATGCTCACTATGCGTCATGAAATTCTTGAAGTTATATATGTGTGCACCGCTGTATGGTCTGTAAATAAAAGCCAGAATCTCTCGGTTTTGTTAATTTTCGGGATAAACCTATCCCTAACTTAAACATGATCTCTACAAGACACATTGAATAAGTTATCTTCAAAATGATGGAGTGTGTAGAAATTTGAATTTCACTTCAGGAAGTTAACTTTTCCAAACTCATGTATTGAAAGAAGAATATCAAATCAAATTATGAGCTCATGCATACAATATGTTTCTCTGAAGTGTTATATTCAAGAAGTATATTTTATATTCATGTGTATGTAGGTGGTGGCGAGCAATTTTAGGATTTGAAGTGTGACTGATTCAATCTATAGGTTTGTTTTGCAAGAGCATGTGTGATTATCTAAATCTCGCGGATAAGGCGTTTTTCATTGGTGGCAAAAGGATTCAACGCTTTAGGCATGGGTTATCTGGTCGGAGTCTGCATATAGTAATCCTAACTAATGGCTATGCACTAGAGACTATGACTCATCTTCGTTCACTGTTCGTTTTTATTCTGAATGAAGTTCCGGAATCTCCATATACCTTTTCTTTTGTTTTCTACACCGAGTCTTTTTTTACTACTCTGGTATTTGTCTGAAGATTTTATCTCCATATTTTAACTTGTTATAGCAACTTGAACCGATTCACATATCTCACGTTCTACGTTGCACATAACTGAAAGGCTATATATGAACTGTGGTGTGGGCTACTTATATCCACATAAGTAGTATATGACAATTGTCGGGCATTTAATGTATTTCGTAGAAGATCGGTAAGGAAAGAACGGGAACGCAATTGGTATGAAAATAATCGGAGACTATGGACTGATATTTGCCGAAGGACCAGTCAAGATTGAGACAATTGATTGGTAAATTGTAAATTAACTGTTTACTGTAGGGTTGTCAGATTTCAGTGACATAGTCTGTAATTTTCGTGTTAAATACATTCGTTTGTCCCCACTCGTGTTCTTGTTCACTACACTACTTCGACTACTCATCCTTTTTTGTATTAAACGTTGCTCTTTTGGATTATTCGGACATTTTAAGTATCGACGTAATGATTGTTAGAATGTATTCTCTGATACGATCAGCGACGTGTGCACTTTTCTATATTTTATGGGAGTAATATGCACTTCTGTGAGTTGAGATTTCACAAGAAGCCTCCAAAATAGTGTATGTGGTCGATGCTAGATCTTTACGTATAGACAGTTCTATATTAAAGTAAACGAAGCTATTTATTTTGTCTAGACTAAAGCATTTTAGAGAGAATTTATCACAGTTTCTTCTATTTCTAATTGTTATCAAAGAAGGAACAGTCGCTCAAAAACATTATCAATCCATCTATGTTTTAGATTCTCTTTATCGGATTACGAACTTGTGTTAGGATAAGATAAAATGCTAGATGATGTTTTAATTCAGTACAACACTTGTATTACTCCAGTTCTTTCGCATTAATTTATTGTGATATTCGTTTCAAAATTTATCTGTATTTTCCATTTGTCACTCTGGACTGTATCTCAAGCGTATGTCAATTATTCTCAATCTTTATGAATAAAAAGTTTAGTGTCTAATGGCAGTTTAAAATTAAGCAGGATACATAATTATATTATTGTAATATGTTTCTGAAGATTGTCGGGTTACATGGTTTGCATTACTGGTCGAATGTAGTCAGTCAAGTATTTAAAACTACGTAGCACTCTGCAGTTGTTTCATTCTAATATAGACATCCTCTCAAGTGCACGATTACTACTTCACCAAGGAGTGAACCCAGGACTATCACCTCTACAACGAATACTTATTCTCTAAATCACTAAGTTATCATCTAGTGAATCACATTTTTATCTCGAAATAATTCCATATATCGGAAAACTGTCAAAGCAAGTCATACTTAATCCAGCATCCTATGTCTTCAAAACAAGAGGAATTCGAACGGTTTACTATCATCTGTAAAGCTTTTACATTACTTAAGTACACCAACTTTGGTTATTTCTAATGCGTATAGTTACTACTTAAAATATACAAGTAGGCAATATGGTTGTTACCGAAAAACCGGTTTTCAATTGAACACAAACGTGGAATCTACGGGTTTCCTGAATTGTCTTAATTAGTTTATTTATTTCAGTGTTATCAAGTGTTGTTATTTACAATAAGAAATTAAGTCACATATGTATGGACATTTCGAAAATTTAGATGGAAGATAAGCGTGACTCTGCTTTGAAATCATCGAAAGTTGAACAGTCTATAAATTTCTTATGTGGGAGATCCTGAAGGTGTTTGTTAATGCTAATTTTCATTTCCACGATGGCATGCTTGGAGATTAACCAATATAGAATATCAGTACTTGTAACACATCCTTTATAAAGCTTCAATTTTAGTCTCATTTCATTAAGATGATTTATCGTACTTTAACAAATTATTCAATACTGATGTTCTCTATTTATCTATAATTTCTGACTGTTAAGGTGTAGAAATGATTTGCCGGTTTATAACATTGACCAACTTGTACTTCCCTGTGGAATCAATCAACCCATTGGATTTACATTTTAGAATAGTTAGACAGTTTACTAAAACTGTATGAAGAATCTTTTGCTAATAGATAGTTCTCGCTGTTGTGTAAAATTACTTCAATCAACTAAACAATGTTGAATAACTCAGTCACAAATCATATTTTTCAGGTAACATCTAAACAGAAAGTTGGTTAATTATGGATATCTCATTCATTTACTTGAAATTTAAAACTATAGATAGAACTAAGATTAGTCTGATTACACAGTATGAACCAAGTACCACATGGTTAAGAATTGACGGAACGATAATTTTATTGTTCATATATATAAAACCTCTGAAGTTATGTACCAAGTAAATAACTTTACAGGCGCTTTACTACTTCTCAATTAGTGGCCAGAGATTTTTCAGTCTATGGATTTCCTTGTTTATCTCTACTTAACCGTCTCAAAGTATAAATAACAATGATATTTCCATTTATATTTTCAGAAGCTAAGAACAAAAAATTTTTGTGAAGGGAGTAAAACAAGATTAATCCGTAAACTAAAGTTAAAATTTCAGTGTGAATATACACCAGTTATCTACTATCTAATATACTGGGATTAGTTTAGAACTGTTAGAAACATTACTTACTTGTTTACTTACTTACTTACTTACGCTGTTACCCCCAATGGACATAGGCTGCCGACCAACATTCTCCAACCCACTCTGTCCTGAGCCCTCCTTTCTAGTTATATCCAATTTTTGTTTATTCTTCTCATGTCTGTTTCCATTTCTCTGCGCAATGTGTTCTTTTGTCTTCCTCTTCTCCTTTGGCCTACAGGATTCCATGTAAGGGCTTGTCTTGTGCACAGTTGGGTGATTTCCACAAAGTGTGTTCTATCCACTTACAGCTGTTCTTCCTGATTTCTTCCTCCACTGAATGGAATGTGGTTTGTTCTCTTCCACAGTAGGTTGTTGCTGATAGTGCCTGGCCAACAGATTTCAAGTATCTGTTAATAAACTCTTATATCTTGTGTATGATGGCTTTCGTAGTTATCCACGTCTCCGCCCCATACAGTAGAAGTGTCTTGACAATTGTTTTGAGTTCCAGTTGTAAATATGCTGCTCTCGATTTGCCGATCCGCGCCTTTACATCTGCATCATACATATTTTATACTGTTCATGAATGAAATATCGATAATAATTTACTTGTAAAATCACAAGCAACTCTTACTGATTTACTTATGACATTGACTTTGGCTCTATCAATTAATCAATTGCCATGTTAATAAACTATACCGAAAGTTAGTTTGATTTCTGCGTAAATAAACATTGAGAGTTTAAAAATATCACCAACCAAGAAAAATAAATCAACTCATGTTTAATCTTTTCTTAGTTATATTATGATATGGTGTGTTTACCGAACAAAGAGTGGTAAAGTTATACAACACAATAAGAGTGTACTTCTAATATGGAAATGGGAACGATGTATAGTTAATAGGTAAGTAATTCATTATGCTGACAATCATCTACTCTTGGCAACCTACTTCATATACGTGAATTGCATATCCTCACCCATTAATCAAAAGCAGTGAAGCGAAATTACAGAATATCTTAGTAAAATCTGAGAACCATACAGTAAATACTTCATTTGCAAAATGTCAATCAATTGTCTCAGACTTGATTGTTCCTTCGTTTCCACACCAATTATTCTCTGTTCTCGTTCTCTTTTCTTCTGCCTTCAGGGATTTCACTTTCGATTGGTGATACAAACTACTTATATTTGTTGCCATCAGTAACACACACCACGATAGTAATACCTATGTAGTTTATTAATTTTAATTAATCAAGCCTTATGAATCGATATTAAAACCTTAGACAAGTTAAAACCTAATTAACTAATATACACGTACAGTATGTTAGCAGGTTAAAACATGTAATCACTTGTAAAAAGTATGAAAGTATATCGTTGTTATAGGATATATTTAATTCAACTGAAGAATAAATAAAAGTTTTTTAAAGGGATAAGATTTGGTTAATCTTTACTTTGACTTACGTTCACCATTTACTCGCTTCAGGAGTACATATACTAAAATTGAAATGATAAAGAGAAGATTAGCATGGCCCCTGCTCAAGGATGACACACAAAATCGTGAAGCGTTCCATTCCATATTACGTTCTCCATAGCCTATTGGGTAACAAAATCAGACATCTTAAAATGATTGATATCTTAACAAAAAAGATCATAGTTAGTAATCTAATTATCGTTAATTAAATTCCTGTAATGAGTAGGATTTTTTTCAAATTCAATGATCAAACTGATTAGTAAGTCTTATTAAATACTTAATATTATATCTTCACTAAATAGGATAGTATGAACGATTTAATAGTTAGAGTATCTTCAAGAGTATCCGGAATCCTGATTGTGGAACAATACCCTTTGTAGTATCATTTGTTAAGTTAAGCCATACGCCTTATTCTAACTTCTGGACAAGTCAATTCACCTGTCCATCATGAGTTATATTTTCACCTTGTCAATTATTCACTTATTAACCCTGTCCATTTTTATATGAACGTAGGTGTGTGTACACTTCTTATCCTATTTATCACATGTCTGTCATTTAATCTTGTCTAACTATAAATATTAATTAAAGCTTGATAAAAGTGAGTTGGCTTACCCATCGTCTCCAATGTGTGTCATTTTCACTTCGATCTCTGATATTTACTCATATGCTTATAACTTGCTGGCCTACATCATTTGTCAATAAAACTGTAGCTGCCGCTTCTCTTTACCTTCTGATTTTATGCACCGTTAAGATTTATATTATAACGGTTGTCGAGGTGAACGATTAACGAAGCACGGCACTACACCTTCACAAGCAAAAAACGTTTTTAAGATTATTTATACAACTAAGTTTGTCTAAATATAAGCATCTATTTCCCTTTTTTAATAAGATACGCTTTATTCATTTATTGTTGTTAGCTTTATACTGCTTTATTTTTTAATCAGTTCACTACATCACATGCTTCGTAATGAATATTACTGTAAACATAGAACTTGGCACACATATATACATCATCTGCCAAATTATATCATCACAACACAATGAAATTATTAAGATGAATGTGAGAGTAGTTTAAGTAGTAACAGTATCAGTGGTAGCAGAAAAGTTTAACTCTAAACAATACAATTAGACAAAGAATTAACTCGTAGAATAAAAAAATATAAGATGATTTTAAAAATCAAGAAACCTATCACATAAAGTCTTTAGCCATAGATTAAGATATTGACTTAAACCACAATAGGGTATTCTATACTGATTACTTCATAAACTGGTACCACATCCTGGTTTCACCGCTCCTACTTTTCTCTTAGCCTAC